AAGTAGTCAGAGCATATGGAAAAGGGGAACAGCAGAATGGTATATTGGAAGGGTTGGCAATATTGGATTTGTATTTGGTTTTAACACAAGTTGCAAGAGTTTCACTTCACTGTTCAGAAGTCGTTGGAGCCAACTGAAATCATAAGAACGTTAGGAAAAACTTACAAAGCACAGGAACGAAATGTGAGTAAATTAAGCCCGCTGGATGTTCTACAGCCTCTGAATTTCTCATCTGACTATCCTATGCTTTATGTTTTGGAAATATGCTTTAAATATCTAAATGAAAGCACTAAACCTAACTGAAAGGCAATGTAGAAAATGCATGAAAAATGGAATAAAGTGGCATAATGAGCTCTGGTCTCTTGGGGCTAGGAAGGATCGTTGAGCACTCATTGAAGGGAGCCATTGGCCTTGGTTCACATGGTCCCCACGGTCTTTCTACCCAGCAATTGCCATCCTGCTAAATGTAAGCCCTCGTGGAACGCTCCTCTCACGTTCTGGCACACTCCCACTGGATTGCCCGTTTGTGCTGGTTCTAGACCTCAGTTCCCATTTGTGGATGGCAGACCTGCCAGAAACATCGACAAGCGAGTATCCTTCCTTCATCCAGATGAAATCACTCCTACTGTTCCTGAACTAAGACTTGAGAACTGCCAAAATAGTTATTTATGTAAGAGTTTCTGTGTTCCATTAGATAACACCTTACCAGTGTTTGAATAACATGGTTTGTAATTGGAGTCCTCAACACTCCTGTGAAATTAAATTAATAGGTTATGAAGGAAAGATTATCTCAAATACCTATAGAATGTGTTTGAATGGCGGGGTTAGGGAGGGAATTTAAACAGACAGAACATTCTAATTACATGTAACTTGAACGAGTTCAATAAAGAATATAGACTTTCGGGGGCAAAGAATTCTTTAACACTTATAAATCATTGGAAAATGAATGTAATACAATCTACAGATGTACGTATTCATTTGCCCTGATGGTTCATTGAATAAATTTCTTGTGCATATTTGCATAGCTCTCTTTAACATTAAGAGTTATAAATGCAGTTATAAAATAAAAGAGTTATAAATGCAGATGCCTGGGTGGTTCAGTCAGTTGGAGTCTGCTTTCAGCTCAGGTCATGATCCCAGGGTCCTGGGATTAAGTTCCACATCCGGGTCCTTACTCAGCAGGGAGCCTCCTTCTCCCTCCATCTGCAGCTCCCCCTGCTTGTGCTCGCTCTCTTTCTCTCTGTCTCTGACAAATAAATAAATGAATAAAAATCTTAAAAAAAAAAAAGGAATTATAAATGCATGTGTCTCAGGAAACCTGTCACTCAGAACTCTAGATAAGATGAAAATATTAAAAAGTCAAACTCTTTTAAATAGTGACCCTGTTGACAGTAACAGAGAAGAAACCCATATTGCGGTTTGATCAGAGCACAGGGGAAGGGAGGGAAAACGGAATGGGAAGAAATCAGAGAGGGAGACGAACCATGAGAGACTCTGGACTCTGGGAAACAGACTGAGGGTTACAGAAGGAAGCGGGGTGGGGAGACAGGACAACCAGATGATGGGTACTAAGAAGGGCACGTGTTGTGATGAGCACTGGGTGTCGTACACAAGTAATGAATCGCTGAGCGCTACATCAAAAACCAACTATGGCTAACTAAACGTGATAAAACTAAACATGATTAAAAATTTTTTTAATAAAAAATAAATTTAAAAATTAAAATGCAAATATGATGATAAGAGAATTAAAATTAAAAAAAAAAAAGAGGGGTGCCTGGGTGGCTCAGTGGGTTAAAGCCTCTGCCTTCAGCTCAGGTCATGATCCCAGGGTCCTTGGATCCAGCCCCGCATCGGGCTCTCTGCTCAACGGGGAGCCTGCTTCCTCCTCTCTCTCTCTCTCTCTCTCTCTCTCTCTCTGCCTGCCTCTCTGCCTACTTGTGATCTCTGTCTATCAAATAAATAAATAAATAAAAATTAAAAAAAAAAAAAGAATGTCAGAACCACTGTGAGTGGTGTAAGGGTTGTATTATGGGGGATCAAGCCGATGCGGTCCTGGGAGAGAAGCTGTTTGGTGCTGGGCTGAGAGATAAGGAGGACTGTCAGGAAAGTAGGGGTAGGGAGCCACCTGAGATCCGCAAGGCTGAGCCGAAACTCCTCAGAACAAACCGGAGCACGTGTCCGTCTCTAGCTGCTTCCAAGCCCGCCGCCGAAGAGCGGGTACATTTCTCCGTGCAGCAGCGCATAGCTTTGGCCCGGTCTGAATGAGAGGTGGACAAGCTCGGGGACTGGCTGCAGCCCAGGGAGCTGGCAGGAGCTGTAGCCGCCGTGCTCCTCCAGGCCACCAGGGCGACCAGCAGACCCTCTGCTGTGGAGTTGAGCACAGCTGCGACTTCAGCTCCACCTCCCAAGCCCCGGGCCAGCTCTGTGGCTCCCCTAAACGTCCAGCTGTGCAGGCACGGGAGTGTGGGGCAGGTTGGCTTCCGGTTAGCTGAGTTGGCACAGCACAGACCCAACAGGCATCACGGTTCATCCCTTGCCAGCTCAGCTAGCGCTCAGACACACCTCTCGGTCAAAATTGGCTTGCAAAGAAGGCAATCGCAAAATTGAGTTTATGCCAATGAAATGATCCCTCTTACAACCCAACATCCACTAATCCAAAATTCACCAGCCCCTTTCTGAGTCTTTGGGTGATGTTCCTTCCTCTTCAAGCTGGGTCATAGTCCCCCTTGATGTTGAGCAGCCTAAATTCTGAGACACGAGATGAAATACCGTTTAGCATACATTCAGTGCTAGGAGAATGGGAGAGGGGAATAAAAACTTTATATACATAACGATCATATGAAAATAAAAGTATTTGGCTTCCTTGTTTCTGCCCCTTAGTCGCCGGGCCACAGCTGGTATTTGCAACTACCTTTTCCTGCCAGTCATTCCATATACCCTTTGTCCTTGGCGAACCCCTCAGACGGTTGTAGTTCCTTGCCACCGGAGATGACCCAGAACTGAGTTCTAGAAGGGTCTGGAAGTGGAGCTCTTAGATGTTGCTAGTAGGAATATAAATGGCAGGTCCCCTTTGTGAAACTGTGTGCACTTGAAAAGGCCCTTGGGCTAGAGGGTGAAGCAGGGTGTTGATTTCTCTCCCATCTCCACGGCCACAGCCGTGTTGGGCCCTCAACCTCTGTCACCTGGGCCATTTCAGCCAAAACCATCCTCCAAGCGGCAGTCCTAGTGACCTGCCCAAAATGCATCTCCTACGTGTTAGCGTGGCGTGTGAAGGTCTCCACGATCTGCCTCTTCCCCTGCCTCTGGCGCGTCCTCTGCATCTGTCCCATGACGCTGACGGTAATAGTTAAAGGAGTCATTATTAAGTACCTGGTCCGTGCCAAGCACGACGCTGTGTATCAGTACCTTATTAATCCTCACATTAACCTTGCAAGTTGCGTGTTACTACCCCTCATTTCACAGATGAGGAAACTGGCTATCAGACAGTGTCCCATAGCCACTCGTCATTGGCAAAGCTGAAACGTCACCGTCATCTCTCCCTGCAGAGCCTGGGAGGACCTTTATCCTCTGGGCTATCCTGAACTCTTTCTAGCTACTCGAGCATATCATGAAATTTCTGCTGCCGCCCACCCTGTGCCTTTCTTTCTGTATGTTTCCTCTTGCGTTCTAGACTCCTCTTTGCTTCCCTCCAGTCCGCTTAAAGCATCTGACTCCTGCTGAGTTTTGAAGTCTGTTTAAGAGGGCTGGAAAGATGTGTGCCCTGCTCTGCTCTGCTTGCCTCCCTGGCTGGGTCAGCGCCCGTGTTAGCACAGCTCTCTCTTCCACTGTACTCTGCACATTATCATCATCATCTGTATCCTGGTCTCTCCGTTAGATTATAGGTCAGCAGACCTTTCTCGGTAAATGGCCAGAGAGTTAATATTTTAGGTCTTGTGGGCTATGCTCTCTGTGTTGCAACTACCCGACCCAGCCTCTGGGGTGTGAGGGCAGCCGTAGCAAGACAGACAGCGAGTGTGGGTGAGTTCCCACACAGCTCTACTAATGGACACTGAAATCTGACTCTCCTATCATTTGCACATGTCACAGAATATTCTGCTTTGTATATATTTTTTCAGTCATTTACAAAACAGAATTATCGTCTTGTGAGCCATACCAAAGCAGGAGCAGGCAGCTGGATGTGGCTCATGAGCTTGCCGACCCCTGTGTTATAGTATGAATTTCTGGAAAGCAGAGCCAGAACCTCACAGTTACGGTCACCATACCAGTGTATTGCCAGATTGGGCTGCTTTGAGAGCGAGAAGGGTTGCTGTTAATGATGCTGGGATCACAGGTGTAAAGCGTGGAGCTTCCCTGGGCAGAGAGGGGTGGTGACACCAGTCACAGTGTCACCTTGTTGGCTGTGTACAGTTTCATGTGGGTCCTCATTACCTCAGCCCTGGTTCTTGACTTTAGTGTCCCATTTCCAGTGGTTGAGTCACAGGCTTGGGGATGTGTGCAAGGTTCTGAAATCGTCTAGAGCGTGAAAACTTTACTCCTGCAACAATTAGCTTCCTCTGAAGGAAGCAGCTGTATACCTAACTGGTTTTCAGAGTGGATCAAAGTGAAACCATGCATATTCTGGACAATTAAAGCTTATAAATTTTTTTAAGATTTTATTTATTTGAAACAGAGCAAGCATGAGTGGGACAAGAGGCAGAGGGAGAAGCAGGCTTCCTGCTGGGCAGGGAGCCCAACGGGGGGCTGGGTCTCAGGATCCTGGGGTCATGACTTGAGCTGAAGGCAGATGCTCAACTGGCTGAGCAACCCAGGTGCCCCCCTTTTGCATAAAAATTTTAAATATGTCTCTCCCCGAGAATTTTCCTCCAAGTAAGAAGAATATAAGTCTGTATGATCAAAATTAAAATGACATTTACTGTGGACAAAAGTATAGAACTGAAGCAGGAGAGGAGAATGGTTTCATGTATAGTTAACGTCTTCTCTTTTTTTCAATCTTTTTGCAGTTTTTCGAGGTGCCGTTTGATTCAAACATGAATAGGACAAAGAACAGACCTCTGGTTCGTGGACAGATCAGGTAAAATCGTGAATAGAAGTCTCATGCGCCTTCTAGAACATTCCTTTGCTCGTTCATCCTGAATCACGTCCCAGTCTTTTGCCTTGAGTTGTGAGCTGAAAATAACACCCCTCCCCAAGGGGCGCGTTGATTTGGGTGCATGGTACTTTTCAACTCTCCCCAAAATGTACTACAGAGCCCTCAAAATGGATCTAAAATTTGCCGTTCTGTTGTGGGAGTAACTCATGCAATGAATTTCTTTATGAAATTCCATTTTGAAACGCGGACTTGTTTCACTTGTAGTGGCTGAGGATGAAAACACTCCATTAACACAAATGATTTCAGACAAATCCATACAGGGTCTCGGAAGAAAGATCTGTCTGAAGCCTTACCTTTTCAGACAAACTGATAATGCTGTTATCTGCCGAGGAAAGCACTGCCCCCATTACTCTCCTTTCTACCAAATTCAATTAAGTAGAACTAAAAGGCATATAAATATTTTAATATCACTAATGGTTAATAATTAAACATTTTACTTCCTGGAGACCTTGAAACTGGCATTTAAATTTTTTTTTTCAAATCCAGTGGATATCGTAAGCCAAGAAGAATAAAAAGAAAAATGGTTTTTCTGACAATTCTAAATCAGCAAATCTTCTCCTGTTTCCACAGGCAGTGCCCTCATGGAGCTTTAAATATATCAGGGTAACTTGTGGATCAAGTAGTCAACACATATTCAGTAAAACCATAAAAGAAACACATGTGGGTACAGTCAGAAGTCTGTGTAAAGATGATTTTTAATATTAGCTGTTGGGAGCCTTTCAATTCTTCAGTGAATTTAAAATACCATTATGTCGCAAAGAGCAAAGAAAACACAGAAGAACAGAAATCTCATAGCCACTGATAACTCGATTAACTTTTTTGAGATATAAGTAAAGCCATCTGCTGCGTTTGCATTTAAAGTGTCCGAAGTGCTTTTATCTGGGTTGTTCTAGAAGAGCAAATGCAAGCTCTGGGACCCGTCTCAAAGGCTAGAAGCTGCCCGTGCCGCTGGTCAGATCACAGGGACGTGCTTACGTCCTCCTGCAGGGAAATCTCGCTTTCCCCGAGAACCAGGGGAATGTGGGGCAAGCCCAGCAAGTGGCCTTCGGGCATCTAGTGACAATCAGATAAAGGCCTGCCACTGTCCACATCTCCTCTTCCTCTGCCCAGTGTGGTCCTTTCCTGCACCCACGAAAGCCACGTTGACCCATGCATCCAGGGAGGGGCGCACATGGCCTTGACGGTTGGCATTGGCAACGCCCGTCCTTCACAGGCGAGAGGCTGCTGCACAATTATTAGTCTTGTTAAACCGGTACCGTCTTCTTTAGTTTGCAAGATGACCCGGGCAGAATCTCATCTACGATAATAAACCTTAATTGCTACCTAAAGAAGCCTCTGAAAGGGCAAGTGATAGGGCCGAAGAAAGGACTCGGACTTAGGTGAAGCGCTGGGATGTATTTTATGAAACAGGTCCAAGGAGCCGTTCTGAGTCTGGGGAGAAGAAATCTTGCCCTGAGAATCATAGTTTTAAAACTGGGGACTTTATATCTCGCCACATAGGGTTTATTATAACCTAGTAAATGACTAACTACTATGCAGATCTAGTGGGTGGCTGTTGGGGGGTATAGAAAGTCTTCCAGACCACCCGTTAGCATCCATTTCTCAGCTTTGCTGGTTCTGATGTTCACAATGGCCCTTAGGCATTTAAGTGTAAAGCCCAGCCAGTTTATTTTGAAATTCTCTGTTCGGTATTCCCTGCCCCATTTGACTGGGGCTGACCTGCCTGACTGAATCTGTCCCACTTCACAGACTTTGCAGTTGGGCGTGTGAAGTGTCAGTTCCTGACGTCATTAACGGGTCTGGGAAGGAAGTCCTGGGACGCCTTTGCTGATGACAGCTGTTTCTGTCTTGGTACCTCGCTTGGCCTCTCTCCATTCTGAAGAAATGCTACGGGCATTTATGGGAAAAAATATATATTGTGTTAATTCTTTTTTAAGTAATTGCAGTTTTTGTTTGCTTTTTTTTTTTTTTTAAAGATTCTATTTATTTATTTGACAGACAGAGATCACAAATAGGCAGAGAGGCAGGCAGATGGGGGGGAAGCAGGCTCCCCGATGGGTGGAGAGCCCAATGCGGGGCTCGATCCCAGGACCCTGAGATATGACCTGAGCCGAAGGCAGAGGCTTTAACCCACTGAGCCACCCAGGCGCCCCAATTGCAGTTTATTTTGAAAATTTTTACTGGCATAAATAAAATTATATTCTAAGGAGTTAAAGAAATAGACTTAAAGAAAGAAACATATGCCTGGATTTTTGGGGTGGTTTTTTTGTTTGTTTGTTTTTTTGTTTTTTTTTTTTTTGAGAACCTGGAAAATCAGTACAGTTGTGCACACGTGTGGCTGCTGTTCTCTGAACTTTTCTTCATTTCTTCCAGAAAAACATGTCAGGGTAGGTGGGCGCTGAATGCTTTATGGCGCTGATCCAGAAGATAGTGCATTTTTGCTTGTTTAATTTAGTCTTTATTCCAGGATTAAAGGTATCGTAAGACTGTGTTTTAGCAAAGCAGAGAAATGTGTAAAGAAAGTCAGGGTTAAAGAAAATAGAATACGGGATAAGTGGTAAGAGAAGGAAAGCGTCTCCAGTTCACATAGTTGATAAGGTTGAACTGTGGATTTCATTCTGCATTCCCGGTGATATCACAGCTCTACCATAAAGGTAAGCGCTGCGTGCCTTATTGATACTTAATTCCCCCACAGCACCATAAGATAGATGCTGTTGAATGTTCCCAGTACGTAGGGGATCCAAGTAATACAAAGAAGTAGCAGAATAATACAAAGAAATTTGGCCTACTCCATTGGACTCCCTGCCCCGAGTCCCTAACAGCTACACATAACTGTCTCTGAAAGTCTCTTTGTCCTTGAGAAGAAAACACCACTCTAGGGAGACGCAACTTCTGCCTCTCCGTTCTTAAAAAATACAACGGGACACTTGGTGATGATCTTAGAAGAGTGTCCTGTGTGATGTCCATGGAGGAGGCAAATCCTTTTCTGAGGCATCTCTCCGTGCAAGCCCGGGGGGAGATCCTGAAGATCAGCTCCGGCTGAGAACCCTTAGAGTGAATGACCTTGAAGCATGTTGTGTGGAAGAAGCTCGTGGCCAGACATGTTGGGCTAAGGGGCATCTCTGATGGTTCACCTTGATCCAGGGATGAAAGATTTATTTATTTTTTTATGTGAGGGAGAGAGAGTAAGAGAGCAGGGGGAGAAGGAAAGGGAGCAAGAAGATCCCAGGCAGATGCTCTGCTGAGCGTGCAGCCTGACGCGGGGCCTGATCCCAGGACCCTGAGACCATGACCTGAGCGAAACCAAGAGTTGGACGCGCAGCCGACCGAGCCACTCAGGTGTCCCTGCTCCAGGGGTTCAACGGAGCCCATGAAAGAGAGAGGAGAGAGGGTGCCGATATCAGCTGTGTGTCGGGCAGTGTGGGGAGTGTCCTCCGCTGCAGGACACGGTTGTACAGTGGGCTAGAGGTGGAGTGGCCGTTCGTCCCGGTTTGCCCAGGACAGTGCTGGTTCCCAGTAGGATTGCTGATGGCATCCCAATCTCACTCTCAGTAATGTCCAGGCTGAACGATGACTCTCTGTCACCTGGTAGAATGGGATTCCCTTATTTTTTAAGTTTACTTCCTATAAATTCCAATTGCCTTTTTTTTTTTTTTTTTTTTTGACTAGAGGAGGGAAAAAAAAAAACACTTAACTGGAACGTATGTTCTAAATCAGTTTATAGGTACCCACCATACCACATACCCTTCCAAATAGCTTTTTTTTTTTCTTTTTTCTTTTCTTTTTTTTTAAGATTTTATTTATTTATTTGACCGACAGAGATCACAAGTAGGCAGAGAGGCAGGCAGAGAGAGAGGAGGAAGCAGGCTCTCCGATGAGCAGAGAGCCCGATGCGGGGCTCGATCCCAGGACCTTGGGACCATGACCTGAGCCGAAGGCAGAGACTTTAATCCACTGAGCCACCCAGGTGCCCCCCAAATAGCTTTTTAAGATGACACTCTGTGTCTTTACATTTGCTTATGAATTAGAGAAGATGAATAAGGTCAACAAACTGGTCTGGGTATTTTTTTTTTTTTAAGATTTTATTTATTTATTTGACAGAGATCACAAGTAGGCAGAGAGGCAGGCAGAGAGAAAGGGAGAAGCAAGCTCCCCGCTGAGCAGAGAGCCCGAGTGGGGGCTTGATCCCAGGACCCTGGGATCATGACCTGAGCTGAAGGCAGAGGCCTAACCCACTGAGCCACTCAGATGCCCCACGGCCTGGACATTTCTGACAAAAATGTCACAGTTCTGAATGACTTGTCAGGAGGGAGTTGGGCTTAGAGCTCCCTTTTGATTCTCTGGCAGAGAACAGAGCGCAGACTTCACATCGCACGTCCAGAACTCCCACTAAAGGGCGGGTCAACTCACCCAAGGAGTCAAATCCACAAGTCACATAATGAAGGTTAATGTCAAGAGAAGTTAATCTTCCTATTGGAAAGTCAGATCCAGTGTGATCCAAGTTTTAACTTGGTGATTGGAGAACATTAACCAGCAATTTTTTAAAAATCTGTATAATAGAAGGCATTTCCATCTTCAGATGTTCTTCCTATGGTCAGAGTCTAGTGAAAAATGGTACCTAACAGACTCAAAGCTTAGGCAAGTTACTGGATCAACCTTTCCCCACCACTTCCCCTCCCCTAGGATTGCCATTCCAACCTTGCAGCATCGCCGTGCAGGTGGTAATAAGATCCATAAAATCATGCAAATACATGTGCATTGTTGGGAAGAAGGTTTAAAACTCAAGGAAAAAAAGGAGTCATTTGTAGAAATTTCACCTCTTTCCAAAAGTTGCTTTAAAATATAAATATTCCCCAAAGAATAAATAAATACAATAAAATAGAAATATTCCAGTACTTATCAGGCAACAACATAAAGAAGAA